TGCAAGACCATAAAATTATTCCTGATGTCGGATAATTATTTCCCAAGTGAAGTGCTCTTAAACACTATAATCTTTGACAAAACAGTGTCAAGCTAAAGCTAAACAGGTAAAAGTAATAACAGAAAGGCCCTACAAATTCCTATCCTAGAGTTAAATAGCCCATAAGGCAAGGGATCAAAATATCGATTACTGTTATCTTCCTTAATAAATGTTGGCTGAGGTAATCGTACTTAGATGTGAGTTATCCTGCGCCGGACGAAGACAGGAGATAAATTTGTTAACAACTTATTTATTTTCTATTTATACTATTTAAACTATCCCTAGAATCGGTTTGTAGTTTTCACTGAAAAGACGAAAAATTTGCATATCAAGGATTTTTTCGATGCCCTTTGAAATATCGTTAACTCTGTTCATTAAAAGTACTTTGATAGGATTTGCCTTATAAATACAGCATTGGCCCCTTATAAATAAATATATGCAGACCAAGAAATTAAAAAGGTTTAATATTTCCGAAAAGAAACCGCGTTTTCAAGTTGAACTATTGGAAAGTGCCCGACTATAAGAAGAAAATCCTTTGGTACCCAGCTCCGTCCATCTGTCCATCTATCTGTCTTTTTCAGTTCATAAAGTTCATAGCTGCCAGATTTTGAATATATTAGATAATATGCAAGTCCATTAATTCCGATCGTCGCTGAGATACCCGTTCTTTCTTGATTTTGCAACTATTTGAGCTATCTTTTATGGGACATGTTCAAGCCATGTCCCTCGAAAGGATTCTTTACTGCCAACAAGTTAGAAAACAGGATTTTCGGGATTTTCAATGCGCTTATTTTATGTTATATTGATAATTCATGTTTCACAAAAGTTCTATTACAACCAACCAGATCCAGCAGGTGGCTTACCAACCGTATTAGCACTCAACCAGGGCCCCAGGCCAAGAGCCTCCAGGTTCGTCACATGATTCGTGCCAGCCGTAATGGGCGAGAGAGCAGCATCTTTGATAATCGTCAGGTGGTGAGCGGCACCTGCGTTGCCGTTGCGCGTATATTGGCCGAACTTTGCAGCCTCGTACTCCGTCTTTTGGATCTCGGCGGCAGCCGCGTGCGCCGACCGCTGCAGTGCCGAGGCTGCCTCAGCCTCGCGAGCGGCGGCGATGCGCTGCTGATAAGCCACCGCTGCCTTGGATGCGGCCAGCCGCTGCTGGGCCAGGACCACGGCTGAGGCTGCCGATGCCGCCTCGGAGCGTTGTATGGCCGCAGCTGCCTCCGACTTCTGCGTAAGTATGGCGGCATGGGTCTCCTTTTCCATGGCGATGCGCTGCTGGTTCAGCACGTTCTCCTTTGCCGCCTGCATTTGCTGCTGGGCGATCAGCACATTGGCTGATGCCTGCTTGGCAGCCGATATGGCGTTTGCCACCTCGTTTGGCGACGGCGCAGCCCTGAGCGGACTATGCCCACCGCTCCAGCCGCCGCTGCTGCCGCCTAGGCTGGCCCAGTTGCCAGCTGTATTCCAAGCGCTGCCAAGTTGGGCACTGCTTGTCGCCGCCCACGGAACGGAGGCATCGCCCAGGCTGCGTTTGGGCAGCGTCTTGTCGTCGGAGGCAGTGCATCCGGCTGCAGCAACCAATACCAGCAACATTAGAGGCGACATTTTTGGTCCTTCTCCGTTTCGGCTGATTTTGAAATGCATTTTGCTTAATTTGAACACTTCTACGACTCTGTCTCCCACTGAGCTACTGAACTCTCCTCCCGAGGGCTTCACTATTTATAGCAGAAGCTGCTGCGCTCAGCTGCTGCTGCTTTAATCACTCACGTAGCCATTGGCATCGGCAATTTGGGCTCTTTCTCTATGGCAACTGACTTTACAGCTGCATCGATTTCATGAGCATCAAAGGGAAATGAAAGGCTGCTCCCTGCTTAGACTGTGGGCAATTACTAAAGCGCAACGCCTTTCATCAATTGGTTATCGTAACCCAATTTATATTTTTCTATTATGCAATAGCCAATTCTTGGCAGTATCTACATAGGAATCACTTTAACAACAATATAACTAACGTTTACGCTAAAGACAGACGCAATGTACACAAATATGCATGTGCGTGCATTCCTTTGTATTATTACGCCCACGTGTACACTCACCTGCAAACACACACACACACACACTCGGAGGCAGGCTGCTTTTGTGCCACATTATTAATGTTATAAAAAAATAAAATTTAATTACACCGCGAGAGCCACGCAATTTACGTGTCCAAAAGGTATTACTCTTGGAAAAGTGGGCGACATCCGATACAAATTGTGCAGCTCAGCTGCCGAACATTTCGCGCCGGCCGTGCAACAATTGTAATTACCATTAATGCACGTCGCCAGGTTGGGCTTTACTTTTACTCCTATTAATGAATACAAATTGAATAAGACAAGCTGATGCCACAGTCCGGAGCAGCCGTGCGAGGGTGCGAGGTACAATGTTCCAAGTCTGTCCCATATTCGGTTTATAAATTTGAGAGAAAACATCAGGTAAACAAGAACAGGGAGATGTCCTCAGGATGCCAGCGATTAAATACCCTTGCAGACAATAACTTTGTTTCCCATTTCGAAAACAACAAAGTTTTCATTATGTTCCGTTGAAAGATTTTTTTGTAATTTTCGGGGCATATTCCAAATGTTTTGAATACTTAAGCCCAAGACTATACTTGCATTCCATTTTTGGACTGGTAGCCAAAAAGTGCAATATTCTGGATCTGTGAATACTACGTGAATCTCAGTCTACTTAGCAACTCCTTGAAGCTACTAGATAAGCCATATTTACAGTAACAAGACATCAATGATTTAAAGCGAACTCATTTTCCTTGGAGGAGTCAAGCTTAAAACTTCTTTATCTAGCTCTTAAAGCCTTTATGCACACTATTTTGCCTTTTTTTAATTGCCATATATTCATAGAGTAGTTGACGACGTTTCTCAAAGAATAAAAAACCGTCATGTCGGTGTTTTGGCGGAAAAAACAGAAAGTCGATACATTGCGGCGATATCAGAAGCATATCACATTACATATTGTCCCTTTAATGGCCACCCACTGGAGGCCTTGACTGAGCCACTGCCAGCACTTATGCGAATTTATATTTGTTTTATTTCAGAGCGCAAATCTGCAGGACAGCATGTCGCAGGCATTTCAGAGACAGTCACGGAAATCTTTAATAGGCATTTTATTGCTCACCCTCTGGGCTTTTCTGGCGGAAGGAGTTTTGGCATCGGCATATGCCGATGAGCTCCACAAGGAAAACGGTAAGCTGCAATGCAATGTATGCCAGTTCACGCTTAACCTTTTGCTCTTCAAGATTTTCCCACCTTGGCCAAGCGACCCGCATTCTTCGTGGGCAGCCGATATGGACGTTCTAGCGGAAATAGCGGTGCCGGCGGAAATGGCGCCGTCTCTACCGGAATGGGGACCTCAAAGACGCGACGCCTAATCATAGTGCCCCGGAATGATCGGTTTTTCCTGGGATCACGATATGGCAAGCGCAGCGATGAATACCTGTCGCCATACGAGCAGAACAGCCTGGGCTTGGGCCTAGGCAAAGGCTCCTTGCGGGAAGCCGAGCCGAGATCTGTCGAGTCCGACGAGAAGCCTAGCAGCATAGCAAGAACCCCGCCCGTCATGTCGATGACCATGTCGTGCGTTTACACGGGCATCAGCAACTTCTACAGGTGCAGCAATGTCAACACGTAAGTCCTGCTCCACATGTTTTGCCATCTGTCATTTAACGAGCATATCCGCCTTCTGCTTAACCCTGCACAGTGAGGAGCTCAACAACATGGTGGGCCGCAGCGATGGCGTGACATTGGACTCCAATAGCATAGCCTCGGAGGATGCGAACACCAACATTAAGTAAGAAGCCAGAGCACAGATTGATTGACCAACCTGCGGTGGCGGATCATTTCCTCTGACAGTTAATATCCTTGTTATCCCTTGGCTTTCAGCTACTCATGTAGCGTATCTTATGTTCAAAATGAAGCAGCTGGTATTAAAATTTTTAACGGGGCTGGAAAAGTTTTAATACCCAACAATAATTCTGTAAATAAGTATACATACAATAAATACATACATACACATATGCATACATCTGTATCTAATAACATACCTAGGTAATACAATTACTTATTATACATAAGCCAATTGTATTAAAAATGCTTACCGAGTATCTCTTGCCACTCACGCGCTTCAGTGAGTATAAAGGATCCTTTAGCTTCGCAATGCTAGTCCCATATTAATACAAACTAACATATGCACAGAATTCATGCATGTATTACCTATTCGCTCGTACAATTGTAAACGTTAAATAAATGCAAGAAAATATATACTTAATTACTAAAAAGTATTTTTTTAATTGCGATAAGTTTTCATTGCAAATAGTTGGTGTACAAATGTAGCTTGTGAAACCTACTCGACTAATATTTACCAAATTCGACATATTTGATACAAGTCCATTTTCAATCTTTGAAACATTCAAAACATTCAGTTCCTTGAAATGGATTGATTTTTTAGGGATTATCTAAAAGGGCCATAATTTTCTAAGCTTTAAAACTTCATCTCGATCAAAATTTTGATGCAATTATAAAAAGAGCCTCTTTCAGCTCTCTAATATTTTTTACCTACAAACAATTATAGTATTCTTTAATGTATGTGGGCTCAAAGAAAAATATATTTTCCTTAATAAAGCAATTTGCCTTGCGCTAATGCATTTCTGTTGCGTATAAGTTTCTCTGCGGCCCGATACATTTGCTTACACCTAAAGGCACATTTCTTATTACAAACATACATATGTATATACACATAGGTACTACAAGAAATTTAATTAACATAGCAAGGCCCACACTGATACAAGTAATGAGCAAAAAGCAAAGAGCACTTATTCGTAAAATGGTTTCTTGAACGGAAAATGCGAAATGAAAAAAATGCTGTAAGTTGTCGTTACACAAAGTTTCTCTTAGCTGGCATTGATTTTAATTGATGGCAACGGATAGCGGTATACGGCTGAGTTCCCGCACGGAGTGGAGTCCACACGCCAAGCCCAGCATAAAGTCTAAACAGCATTTTAAGCTAGTGGCGAAGTGCTTGCTAATTGCATTAAGCGGCACGGGCAACAATGTCATCCGGATCCACCACACGAGCGTTTCTTGGGCCCGCCCGCATCACAACTTTTCGGCAATCAGGACACGACAACGCGGCGATACTTTCTCATCAAACAGTTTTTCGTAGCGCACCTCCAGGCGCAACTGCTGCGCTGCAGCCACTTCCCTGAGGTAACACAAACGGTCGTAGAGCACCACGTTCTCGCAGAGTTGCTAGACAAAGACACGGGAGTCAATTTGAAGTTTTGCGAAAGCAATTATGAATTACCTGTATGCTGGCCTGCAAACAACACAATGCCTCAGCCAGAAGGGAGCCACGACCATCGGCATATAGTTCGGTTATTTCAGCAAAGCGAGTCTCATGAACGGACCGCCAGTCCAGCGGCTGGATCGTTTGCCGCGAGCACAACTGATATTTTTGCTGAATGTCGGCAAAGGTGAGCCCATCTTGGTGGGTTGGGTCCTGGGCACGCGCCTCTTTTGTGTCGTACCGCTTCACTTTCGTCAGCTCAACGGCATCGCATAGGGCTTCCGCCAAGGCACGCACAAACATCCGACTTCCGTGCTCTGCATGCGCGCGAGCATCGCATCGCCAACGCGAGTTGGTCTGCTGGCACGCCAAGCGCATAAACGGTCGGTTGAAGCAGGCGACCGCACAATCAGCTGACATAGCCTCACGAAGCACCTTGCTGAGGGGAAAGTTTATGAACGAGCTCCTGGCAGAGCTGTCGTCCGCTGGACCTTCAGCTTCGCAGCGCAGCGCGAGCTTGTGATAACAGCAGGGCATTATATGTAGACACCGCACTTGTGGCATCGCCAAGAATAATAGCATTGCGCTTATGCTTAAGTCCGCACAGGCATGCAAGCCAATTATCGTTGTGCGCAGCGCTCTTGGCAATCCGTTGCCCGTGGCCAGCTCAGATGCGTATTGCTCGATGCGAGCGCAGGAGTTGGCGTCTGCTGTGATAAATAGCTGCTGGTAGCTAATAGATTTGTGTGTCCCCTGTGGAAGCAGCTTCTGGCTGCGTTGGCGCGCCGCTTGCACCCGCTGCTCGTCTGCTTCCAGGCCAAGTATCAAATAATTATCATTTCGCTGAAGCAGCGCTTCGCTGAGGTAACCCAGCCCGGAACCCAAGTCGATTACGAATTGCATATCTGCGCAGTGTCCATGAATGTGTGCTGCCAACTGTTCAATTTCATGAAGTTTTTTGGGTGCTACCTTGCGGTTATTGCCAGAAAAGTTCCTTGGCAATGGGGGAGCTGATGGAGCTGTTTGAGTAGGCGTCAGCTTAGCTATCTCTTCGCGGAAGCATTCCACCTCCTTGGGACACCCGTCTAAATGCTCATGTACGAATGGAAATTTGTTTAGGTGTTCATTTGATATTCCTAGGAAGTAATCCTTGAAATCACTAGGCATATCGTTAAGAGACTTGAGGAAACACGTATTGGCTTCACGGTATATCCAGGAGTACTTCTGCAAAAAACTCACAGCACTTCTAAAATATGTGTCGTCATTAGCAAAGATACTCGGCAGAGACATGGCTGAGGAAGAAGAAAAAACCAATGCGACTGAAATGCAAGAGTTTAAAATGATAACTTCCAAATTGGTTATTCTAACTTTGTATATCAAAAGTTAATTTTAATATAATTTTAAGTATCCTATATTAATAATTTAATTCATTCAACACAATTTCGAATGCCCGCATTTGCCATTTAGTGGGCATAGCTGACCGGTCTCTGAGCGTCTAATACTACTTTAATTAGTACTAATTACTAGATATATTTAAAATATTTGTATTAATTTAATCTATTCCAATAATCTATTTAGACACCTATTCATGAAGAAAACAGACAGCAAATGGTTTTGTTTGTTATAAGACAATTTCCTTTAATTATCGATAACAAGTAATCAACGTCTTTCGGTAGAAAAACAAAAACTTATATATGAAAACGTATATAAAATAGAAACAGAACAAATGTGGCTATAGGTATATACAGACAGAATTTTAGTAGAATACACTTAGGTTATGATTTGCCACTTTAAATTGGTCTCCTGCTCTAATTTGTCGTTTGCCGGCCCTAAAATACATTTTCCAAAATGTTTTGGTTCCTTTTTAAAGTACTTTTCGATAACATTTCGCAGTTCGTCGACGGTCACAGAGAGCACGCGCGAACGATATTTAATAAACATCTCTTGCGAGACCCCATAAAGGAAGTAATCTATGCCAATGTTTCCAGGCGCGATTGGCGAGTCCAGCTGCTGCAATACGCCCAATTTAGCTTCAAATAGTGTTTGTTGATCCAGCTTATTGCTTTCCGCTTTAAGCCACTCGTAGGTTTTATCGAATGCATCCAGGGTCTTTGTGGAATGAGGATCACGATAACTAAAAAAACAAAATATGCCATCGGATCCAATTTTGGCACCTGCGCCGTATGCTCCGTTCTGTTCACGCACTACAGGCAACAGATACTTGGCCGATACGAGTTTCGCCAATACGCGTAGCACGGGGTGATCTTCATGCAAATACGGTACCGCAAAGAAAGCTTTTGCGCAGTAGTTCACAGGAATATTCATAACAAAATGTTGGAAGCTGGGTTCCAACAAATGCAATTCGCTCTTGGCACTCATGTTTTCCAGCGTAGGCAAATTTTTAAGGAAGGTTTCGCAGTGTTCCAAGGCTGTTGGTTGAAACGACTCTGAGCTATTAATGGCAACGCGCATGTTGCTTTTGCTGAAGACTTTAGAGCCAATATTCCTCAGTTTGTCGCGAATTTGCTCCGTGCTATTCTGTTGCACATACTTTTTCATGAAATCTATGTGATCCACACCCGATAATAGGGATTTCAGCTTTGCAGCATCGCTGACCAATGCAGCGGAGCTTAACATGGCGTACAAGTGCCCCGAACTTGCGATTCCTACTGATATATTTGAAATGTAGTTTTCAATAAGCATCTTCAGGCGATCTGTATCATCTAGCCTAAAATTAAGAAGCAATTCTTCACACAGTGCAAACATATCAGCAACGTTCTTGTCAAGTGCATGTGTGTTCATCATCAAGCCCAATCGATACGATTTGGCATCCTTCACATTTTCGACAAAATTCAGTTTAATGTCAATACCGGCAGTTTTTGAAAGAACCAGTTTGTCGAATTCACGGAAGTTATGATTGGCGGTGCCCATATCGTTAATTACGTTACAGAACAAAGGTACGAGCACAACCTCGTCTCGACTTAGTCCTGTAATATTGAACAAGCACTTAAGGTAGGTTATTTCATTGGTGGGCACCTTACACAGCTGCGTGGGAACGTCTTGAATAGTTTGCACTTCAATTGTTGGTATCTTTGGTGGTTGCTTTACATCGTTCAGCGATAGACACGGCAAGACATCCGTATTTTCTGTACCTTTTTGAGAAGCTTCCAGTTTAAGGCCATTCTCATATATCTCTTTGTACTTTGCGGAATCGAGTGCATTTACTTTCTGTTTTAGCATCTCAGCTTCAGCCTTCTTGAAGTTCTCTTCATAGCATTCGTCCGGAGACATTGTCAGAGTCAGCTTATGTGTGTTGTTTGTAAAGTATTTTTCCATTTTCTGTTGGAAATAGTTTTTATTCTCTTTAAGGTTGCACCGTAAACGGGCAATCATTTCCGAGACCCGAAGACTGCTGACAATATCACCATCATGATTCCACAAAGACGTCGAATTAAATAGCAATGCATTACCGAAGTGAGGGCTCTGATGCTTAAGGGATAATTCTAAATTGTGCAGAACACTTTCAACATGCTGAGTTTCAAAACCACCTTCGATAGTTTTATGCACAGTCTGATCAAAAAGTTCGTTAAACTTTTTGAAATCCTCAACCTTTAGGTCCTGTAAGCCCACGACGAAATATGTATCCTTGCAATCTGAGGAGTAGCCTGTACTCTGATTGTAGCCTCCTGAGAAATTTGGCTCTATTAAGCTCTTGTAGAAAGCCGAGTTGGGGCCACGAATCAATACTTCGGATAGTACGTTTAGTTCAAAACTCTCCTGGATGTCGGTTGTGTCACACATCAGCAGGGCTATAGCTATCTGATTCTGTCTGTCGAAAGTAGCACCCATACTGTCCAGTCTACTGGGAATGTGCACATTGCGTGGCTGTTGCCATGGTTTCTGTTTTGGTATGCGGCTATAGGAATTATCTATGCATTTATGTTGACTTAGGTATTCCTTATCGACAAATGCAAGCGTCTTCATTAGGTCAAAAGAGCCATAGCAGAACATGCGTGCATTGCTTGGATGATAGTATTTTCGATGGAATTCGACCAAATCCTTATGCGTCAATTTGGGGATCTCCAGTGGGTTGCCGCCCGATACATAGCCGTAGGTGTGATCGGGAAGCATGTTGTTGAGCAAATTTTGGGTAAACACTTGAGAGTTTTCTGAAAAGGCTCCTTTCATTTCGTTATAAACAACTCCTTTTATTATAAGCTCAGAGTCGCGATTGCATAATTCCTTGTGTTCAAGGCGCCAACCTTCTTGTAGAAAATCCAAATACGCCAAATTTGGCCTGTAATATAATGGTGTTATACATTGGCATTGACAGTTCCCTTTTCGTATCACTTACCTAAAAACGGCGTCCAAATATATCTTCTGGAGGTTTCTGAAATCCACCTCGTTCATGGTTGAAAATGGATAAAGGGTGTAATCCGGACCGGTCATGGCATTCATAAAAGTGGCAACTGATCGATTTAGCATTTTAAAGAATGGATCACGAACTGGAAAGTTTTTTGAACCGCATAAAGCAAGATGCTCCAGAATATGCGGAAGGCCCGTGGAGTCAAAAGGGGTAGTCCGAAAATTAATTGAAAATACATTATTGGCATCTTTACGATCGATATACCAAAACTCCGTCCCTGTGCCCACATGCCGCAGGGTGCACGACATTAGCTCAAAGTCGGGAATATACTCGATGCGCTCGCACTGGAACCCATGGTATATTTTGCCCTCACTATATTTGTATTTAGGGTCTGCCATGACATGCGGCATATCTCCTTGCAAAGCTAGTTTGGGCTCCGTCTTGGCACGCCTCTTGACCTCCTCGACAGTGAACGAATTGATATTTCGTCTGGCCAATTGCCCATGCAGCATTCTGAGCGAGCGCGGCGCCGCCTTCAACCATTGCAAGCGAGTGAGCATTTTTGTGAGTGCGAGTCTATAAATGGTAAGGACACAGTACAGGTTGCAGATGATTTCCAGATCAAAGCATCGGGCGACATGAATTAAAAGAAAGCAACATAAAACACGACACGAGTTTTAGTTACATCAGCCGGCACTCATTGGGTTTGTATGTATGCAAAGAACTACGTATGTGCGTAAGTGTTGATTTACTTTGTGTGTACGACAAATTTACTGTTTTTAGATTATAAACTGATTGAAATTCCGAATACTTATTATTTGCATTAATATACTCAATAGAGTTTTCACTTAGGGTTTTATAATTATACCATAAAACTCACCAGTTCCGAAAATCCAATCTTTTAAAATGCAGTCGCCTGCACACTACATATGTTTTTATCGGAAGCCAACATTGTTGATTTGTATCGATATATCGATAGTTACATTTTAGTTCAACTATAAACTCGTCTGTACTAAAATATCGATTCAGCTCGTTTGATGGACTATCGCATTCGTAACGTTTGATACAAATTTAAATGATTAGAATTTAAAATTATCGCTGTAAAATAAATGTACAGTATAAGCAGTTAGCTTTATAATTTATGTATTAAAAGTTGATTTGGCCTCAAAAATGCCAGCAAAAGTAGTATACGCCCAGCTGATTTCTTTATTATTTATTAATTAGCGCTAGTTTGAATACCAACCTTTTGATTGACTATATCATAGAGAACGTAAACTTATTATAGTAGCAAGGGTAAGTTGTCTGATGTAAATATGAGATTAGAGGATAAAAAGATCGTGTGGTCTGTAAAAGAAATCTTGTCTAGGTCGTTAGGCTTTTAGTTAGAAATGTAAAGCATTTTATGCTAAGACGCATTATTTATTTAATTTATAACATCAAAACAGTTTAGTTACTTTTAATTTATATTTACATAGACTTTGATTCTCCTCCAATTTTTCCCTTTTAGGTCCCAAAATGAATTTTCCAATATGATTTGCTTCCTCTTTAAAATACTTCTCAATTACAGTGCGCAGATCTTCGACTGTCACAGACAGAACGCGGGAGCGATATTTGCAATATTCCTCATACGACACCCCTAAAATAAAGTAATCCAAGCCAATTTCACCAGGAGCCGTTGGCCAGTCCACCAACTGCAGCACGCCCAGCTTTGCCTCGAATAACATTTGATGATTCAGCTTCTCATTTGTGGCCAATAACCACTCGTAGGTCTTGTCGAATACATCCAGGGTTTTCGTAGAGTGTGGATCACGATAGCTGTAGAAATTGAAGAGACCGTCATAGCCGATCCTTGCGCCCGTGCCATAAGCTCCGTTCTGCTCCCGCACCACAGGCATCAGATACCTGGCCGATACGAGTTTCGCCAGGACGCGTAACACGGGGTGATCCTCATGCAAATATGGCACTGCGAAGAAAGATTTCGCGCAGTAGTTCACAGGAATATTCATAACGTAATGCCTACAACTCGGCTTCAACAACTCCAACTCCCTCTTGACACTCAGGTTTGCCAGAGTAGGCAAGTTTTTGAGGAAGGTTTCGTAGTGTTCCAAGGCTGTTGGTTGAAACGCCTCTGAGCTATTAATGGCAACGCGCATGTTGCTTTTGCTGAAGACTTTAGAGCCAATATTCCTCAGTCTGTCGCGAATTTGCTCCGTGCTATTCTGTTGCACATACTTCTTCATGAAATCTATGTGATCCACACCCGATAATAGGGATTTGAGCTTTGCAGCATCGCTGACCAATGCAGCGGAGCCTAACATGGCGTACAAGTGCCCAGAGAATGCGATTCCGAGTGATAATTTGGACACGTAGCTTTCTATAAGCATCTTCAGGCGATCTGTATCTTCTAGTCTAAAGTTCAGCAGCAACTCCTCGCACAGCGCAAACATATTGGGAACGTTCTTGTCCAGAGCATACGTCGTCATCAACAAACTCGTACGATAAGACTTGCCATCCTTCACATTTTCGACAACCTTAACTTTGAAGTCGAATCCGGGACTTTTCGAAAGAACCAGTTTGTCGAATTCGCGGAAGTTGTGCTTGATGGTGCCAACATTTTTGATTACGTTGCAGAACAATGGCACGAGCATAGCCTCTTCTGGACTCAATCCCGTAATATTGAAGAGGCAATTAAGGTAGGTTATTTCGTTGGTGGCCACTTTGCACAGCTGCGTGGGGACACCTTGAATGAGTTGCTCCGTTACTTGTGGAAACTTGAGCGGCTCCTGCACGTCCTTAAGCGACAGGCACGGCAGGACATCCGTATTTTCTTTAGCTTTTTGGGATGCCTCCAGCTTGATGCCATTCTGAAACACCGCCTCCAAATCATCCGCGTTGAGGTCCTTTACTTTTTTGACGATTAACTGCCTTTCAGCTCTTTTTAAATTCTCATCATATAATTCATCAGGAGTCATTGTCACCGTGAGCTTGTGCGGATTGTTCAGGAAATACTTTTCGACTTTCTCTTGAAAATAGTTCTTGTTCTCCTTCAAGCTGTTTCGCAATTTGCCAATCATTTCCGAAACTCGCAGATTGGCCACAACATCACCCCCATGATTCCAGAGCGTCATCGAGTTATACAGCAGGACGCTGCCAACGTCGGCGCTCTGATGCTTCACTGAGAGTTCAAGTTTGTGCAGAACGCTTTCTATGTGCTGAGGCTCAAAGCCCTCTTGGATTGTCTGCTGAACAGTTTGGTGGAATAGTTCATTGAATTTGGCAAAGTCTTCGGCCCTTAAGTCTTGCAGGCCCACAGCAAAGTACGTATCTCTGCTTGTAAAGTAATAGCCCGTGTTCTTATTGAATCCGCCAGAAAAGTTTGGCTCTATCAGACCCTTGAAGAAAGCCGCGTTCGGACCACGAATCAACAGCTCGGTCAGTACATTCAGCTCGAAGCACTCCTGTACATCGATCCTGTCGCACATCAGGAGCGCGACGCCAATTTGGTTTTGCCTGTCCATCGAGGCGCCCATGTTGTTCATGCGACAGGGAATGTGAACATGGCGCGGCTGTGACCAGCGCGGATGAAGTGGAATGCGGCTGTAGTAAGTGTCCCTGAAATCATTGTGCATAAGGTATTCCCTATTGACAAATGAAAGTGTCTGCATTAGGTCGAAGGAGCCGTAGCAGAATATGCGCGCATTGCTTGGATGATAGTATTTGCGGTGGAACTCGATCAGCGCTGCGTGCGTTAAATTGGGAATCTCGGGAGGATCGCCGCCGGCTACGTTCCTGTATGCGAGCTTTGGCAATAAGTTGCCCATAAGGCTTTTTCGGAATACTCGCGAGTTCTCAGAAAAGGTTCCCTTCATTTCGTTATAAACGATACCCTTAATCATGAGCTCAGACTTTCGATTATGCAAGTCCTTATGCTCTAGTCGCCAGCCCTCCTGTAGGAAGTCCAAATAGAGTAGATTTGGCCTGCAATAAAGAAGCTTTGAAACTCTACTCCAGTTGTTGAGATTAGCTCTTACCTGAAAACAGAATCTAAATAGATACGCTGTATATTCCGGAAGTCGACCTCATTCCTGGAAGAGAATATATAAACAGTCAAGTCAGCTCCAGTCAGAGCATTCATATTTGTGGCAACTGATCGATTTAGCATTTTGAAGAAGGGGTCGCGAACTGGAAATGTCTTTGATCCGCATAAGGCGAGATGCTCCAGTACATGAAACACACCCGTCGAGTCGACGGGCGGAGTGCGAAAGTTAATTGAGAATACATTATTTGTGTCATTGCGATCGATATACCAAAACTCCGTGCCCGTGCCAATGTGTCGCAGGCTGCAGGACACAAATCCAAAGTCCGAGTTATGCTCGATGCGCTCGCACTGGAACCCGTAATAGACCATGCCCTCTTTATATTTGTAGCCAGGATCTGCTATCACCTGTGGCATTTTGGCCTTGGGCTCAACCTTGTGAAGTTCATGCTCCACTGTAAGGGACTTGATATTCCGCCTGCCAGATGACTTGTCCAGCGCTCTTCTCAATGCATTTGGGCATCTGACACGTCTAAGCATTGCGGCAATCGAAAGCTGCAAATAAGATGTGGAATAAATAAGGCATGGTGGCTAAAAATGCAGCCTGCAATATATACGCACACAAAATGGAATTCAAAAATACGTAAAATTTTGATTCATAAGTCCAAAAGTTTAAAATAAATAAAAATTTATTTAAGTCTTTTTAAAAACTTGAATAATTTTGTTTACCCTTAGAGAGGGTAACATAATTTTGGCACAAAATATGTAACGCCTAGAAAGAGGCTTTACTTACCACATAATGTATATATTTCATTGATTTGAGTCCGGATCCTAATTGATCCACATCCGAATTGATTTAGTCATTCAGTTTTTGATACAATACTCGAAATCAGCCATATCGAAAAACTAAAATTTTAATATATTTCCAACACATAAACAATATACTAATAAAATTGACATTGGACTACTATAACATATAGCTTCATGGGAATTATTGATCGGAAATAAAAAATACAGAGCATTTATGATTCGACTCTCCGAAGTTAGCCAATCGTTAGATTTTCTGTTTACTGTCAAAACCAAAAACTCTTTTTTTGGAATGATGACTCGGATAAGACTGTTGGTGTTAGATGTTTTTGAACTATAATAATCATTATCTGATCTGATCATTATCTGAATCATCTAGATTAAGTAAAATCATGTGTACGTAATCAATTGAGGCAATATATTTGGGTATTTGTGCATATGTAAGAGCATATATTTATATAAAATTATAATTGAATGTGGAGTCGACTGAGCACGAGAGTCTGAGCCTCATAAGAAATATCTTAATTCCAAATTATTCTCGAGCAATGAAAAATACCTGCTTTGAATTAAATTAAAAATTGCATTTGACAAACGACCGCTAAGGCAGAAGTAAAAATAAATAGTTTCTATTAAAGAGTTTTAGCTGGAATTTATATATTTATGAATATTATAGAGCGAGATAGAGTTCTAAATCCTCTCACACATATAAAGGCTGAAGTAGCCAATAAATTTAAAAAAAATCATACAATATCTTAATAATTAGCTGTTACTGCTTAGCTTATTTGCATTACTCTCGAAATCCAATCGAGTAGCCTTATGCTGCAGTCATAAATGTCACAACTGTTTGATTTCGAGCCCATCTTTTCGGCCAGTACGTAGTCGTAGGCCTCCGCCGCGTCCCCATTTAGCGTCGTGGAGGGGCTGTCAATGTATTAAATAAAAAAAATTTAATTAAATCAATTAAAATGGGAGCCCCACTTACCCAAGCACCAGATGCAGTAGCTCTTGGACAACACTAAACTGTTTGGAAAACCGTATTGCATTCGCCTCGCATATAGCCTGTAGCATGCATTCATGGCCGTTGTATCCGTAGCTGCGATTCCCATATCAATGGATGCTTGTCATCAAATAAATTAGGAATCAACTAACTAGCTCACCCGTTCAACATGTGCTCAATGTACGCGTAAATTTGCCAGCGCAACTGGGTGGGATTCCTTTGAATTTGACGTATCTCAGCCTCGGCGATCCCGGCGTTTAAGGACACTTTAGTATGTTTGTACTCCGGAAGAAATGGGTTTTGTCGGTACACGGACGCATTGTATGGCAGGAAAAACTCCGCTTTTAGAACGTGACCGACGGTCAGTGATTCATAGGACAGATCAGCCGGAATGCCAATGCCGGCAATAAACTAAAAGGAAATGGCTCCATTAAACGTCAGACTACTAAATGAACTTCATTTACCTGATGTCTTGTCGGAGCTTGACGTGGAAAAATGAGGAAGCGTTTCGACCGGATTCGCTGTTCTCCTAACCGTACAGGCAATACCAGGCACAGACCCAACAGAGAAAAGTACCACAAAGCGCGGCTCATCTCGGCAGACTAAGTGCAATCGACGGAAGTCTTGTGGCTGCAACCACTTTGGTTTGCTTGCCCCGAGTAATTAACAGTCCACTGTTAGAATCTGCCAACCTATTTGGGTACATTCAACTGAGCCAATTGGCACTTTGAGCGGCTTTTCACAAATTTGCAGAACTTTATGCTCAAAGTTATAAAAAGCAGTCTAGACTGGATCACAAACGCTAAACCAGCACAAGGCCGGGATAATCCTTTCTAAAAACATTCGGGGCTCACATCTCAGGGTTATGGGATTACCCAAGCAGCAGCTAAATAGACATCATGCAATGCTCACAATCAAAGGTCCTTGGAATTACAACGATTTCAACGTTTCCATTACCTTTTTTTATATACCAGATCAAAAAATTGGGCACAAGTAGCGAAATTAGTCGATCTCAGAGAATATTAGAACTAGCTGCAATTTGACTAATTTGATTTGATTTTGATAGCAAATGATGTCCAATAGGAATTTGGTTTCTGGTTTTTGAAAAGGAGTTTCAAAATTTTCGTCATATCAATTGCACAATTTTATTTGGCCTTTCCTGTTCAATATTGTGGATACAGGTTAAAGTGTTTTTTGTCTGGCATATTTAAAAAACTATTGCGTCGAAAGGTTTTATGGTTTATGTAATTTTTATATATTCATGACTTAATAAGTACGCAGCATTTAATTAACTTATATTAAATTATGAAGATAAACTAATTAATATCGGTTGCATTGAGAAACACCCAGTGAAATATGCAAAAGGCATGCAGTATTTATTGGTATTAGGGTAATTATAATTTCGTAGATTATTTCGTAAAATTTACATAAAAAAGTGTAAATAAATGATACGATAAGGATTCAAATGCTTAACGACCTTGTTTGATGAAAATGTTACATTCATTTTGCGTGGAAGGCTGGGAATACTTAGAATACTTGGGGCGGTCCATATAAGCGTAGTTACGAATACGAAATTAAATTAAATAGTTACATAAGATTAAAAACTTACTAAAGCGTACTTAAAATGAAAATTAAATTAGAGATACGTAATTTCATAAGCTGCATGTAAGTGGAAACACAAATTAAATTTACATCTGTACCGACGCCTTAAATTAGAAATTAAATTTTACTTGTGCTTGTGAAACTCCTCCATACAGAGTTTACAGCTCCAGGAGCCCTCGGGCGGTGTTACCAATGGCGGCGACAAACAATACATATGGTAACCGCGATCACAGTCGTCGCAGAAAAGCAGCTGGTCGTCGTTGTCTGAGGTGCCACAAATAGAACAATATTTACATTCGATGCACTGCCAGCGGTAGCGCTTAACCGATATTATCATGTTGGGCGTAAACTGTAGACACGATGGATGGCCAGAGCGGCCGCAGTCGGAGCAAGACACTAACTCTTCGGGCATGTTGGTTTTCTTGTTTTCACGCTGATCGCCCAAACAGAAGTCGCAGTACGGGGAAGGCTGCGCAATTTCGCGCTCCGCCCTTAACTTATTCTTTTTGGGACTTGCCAATGGATTAGCTGGCGGCGCAGTTACAGTTGTGAATACAGTTGGATTAGCAGTTGGTGTTGTCGACATGCCCATGCTAGCCATTGTGGCCAAAGGGATTGAATCATTTGAAGCACCTGCATCATTCAGTGAAGACTTATCGTATGATGTAGCAAGCGTTGCCGTCATGACCAGAGCCGATTGTGAGGTTTCATCGATAATGGGAATTGGTGATGCTGAGTTAGAGTGCGTTGCGTAAAGGCCCGTAGCTGCTGCTGCGGCCGCAGTGCTTGCGGCGTGTGCAACAGCCGCGGCTGCTGCTGCAGCTGCAGCAGAAGTATTGGCATTATTGCCAGCGGCACGCCTTCTTCGATCCGGAGTATCGCCTTCAGGTGCATTTCGACGACGATTGCCTGCGATGCAATAGTGGTAAACAAGTGAGCGTTTAAATTTGCACTGGCAAATAATCAGACCACACATGTCTCTTACCGCCACCCTTACGTCCCCGTTTCGGAGTACCATCCACAGTTGCATTTGAACGACGGGGTCGTGAGCCGCGCTTGCGTTTTCCTCTACTACTGTACGACTCATCGAAGTCATTGTCGGAGTCAAAGTCGTCCTCGTAGTCATCGGCATGATGATAATGCGACGAGTCCATGTCCTCATGGAACCAATCCTTCTCGGCATTAGCATGAGAATCCTTGCTGTCGTTGTCCCCCGAAGCGCCCATTGAATTGCCATCTGTGGCCACGATAGCTAAAAACACAAACACACACAAATCAACGTAGTTTTAACAAATGCACAAAGACACATGGAATTGCTTGCCAATACACATACATACATACAAATATATAAAATATAAATCAGCCCCCAATACGCTATGTACATAAATATGTTAGTGGCATTTTCTATGGGGTGGCTACGCGCTGTGCAAACTCAAGCACCAACACATACACACATACACACAAACAGACACGCACGCACACAAATATAGAATATGCAGCTTCATAAAGCCACACATGTTTAGCTGAGCTTACATACTTATATATATTGTTGTTTTTATTGAACAGTGGGCCGGGCCAGGATGAATTTTAGAAAATTGATACCAGACAAAATTTAATCATCAATCATATCAATAGATATTCATATTTTTAATATGAAGTGTTTATAGTTTTGATAATATTAATGTTTGCTTTATATTATAAACCTTTTTTAAATGCTTGAAATATTTAGCCCTTTGTTAACCATAAGAACCCCGAATCGCATGCACTTCCAAATCTGTGTTGATTACTTGTCGGATCTAATACCACGATGCAGAGGTGGTTGGACTGATGACACTGAGCCTGGGGCTGAACAAAGCATAAGCAATTGTAAGAGATTTATTGATTTTACTACGAGTTTTGTTAGTAGTAAGTATGTATGTGCATATGCTTGCCTTTCATTTAATGCATTTATGTGTAAATATATGTTGCTACACTTGTATTTTACCTGCACTTTCGGCCTGATGATGATCACGTGCGCTGACGGTTCCAGGACCAGAGGTCGGTACGTGATGGTGCTGATGCTGGTGGGAGAGATGATGCTCCCGGTATTGGTAGGCGCGGTAGCTGTGATGTGGATTAAGTAAATATTGTCGTTTCGGTTTACGCCAGCGGGCAGAAGGATACGTGTATATTTGGCCATGTCGGAAGCCGGGCATTCGCTGCTTTCGTTTCATAAAGAGCGCGCAGTGCGTCTGTGCGACGCCTGTCTGGGGGTCGAGGAATGGCATTCGCAGCCGGCGCTCGATGCAGAGGCGCGTGTTAAAGTTCTCGCTGTTCTCAAGAATTTCCTTATAGGCGGTGTCATTTAAAAAGTTCTGTATTTTTTCAAAGTTTCCAATGTTTACCACCGCGATTTCGGAAGCCATATTGTTAACGTCGGCGTCACTGTGAAAGCAACACGACGTACCCGCAATGAACCACAGCGTATTCAATAAATAAGACAAGCAAACACACACCGGATTAATGTATTTAAATAGTTTTCGGCAATCCAACCAGTATTATACACCAGAAGCACACATTTTTTCTTCGGCTGCTTTCGCAAACAAGTTTTTATGCCACAAAACAAGACTGTCAACTCCAGAGTTGTCACGTTCGTGTACAGTTTTTTTGTAAATTTCTGGCAACGCCGCATCTAAATAAATGATAATTAACGATTTGGTCACACTGGCGGGGCGTGTTTTTTGTTGTCTGACTCAATATTTGTGTATTAGTTTCTTCTCCCTAATTTATTCAATAGTTTTAATTTGTTTGTTTCAAATCTGAATTAAAATAAAGCTCAAGCCATGGGCGCGTCCAATCGCAGCACACAAGTTGCCCTTGGCATATCGGCAGTCTCCTTTCTGCTTTTTGTTATTGCGTTTGCTACGCCCTACTGGCTGGTCACTGATGGCCGTCTTCAGAATCCACGCTTCACGAACCTGGGTCTGTGGGAGGTGTGCTTTAACCAATTCCAGGACATTCATCGGTTTTACGACACCAGGTTCACCGGCTGCATGTGGGTCTTCGAGGAGGAGTACTACATAATACACGACTTCCTGCTGCCAGGCTTCTATATAGCCGTTCAGCTCTTTGCAACGCTGTGCTTTGTGATGTGCCTGCTGGCCCTGCCTCTGACGTTGTCCTTTCTGCGTACGTCCCGCGATGATGACCGCTATGTGGTGCTGCTGCTTACGATTGGTACCTGCCAAGTGCTCGGCTCCATTTTTGGCTTCATCGCAGTGGTTATATTCGGAGCCAAGGGTGACTCCCGCGACTGGATGCCCGGTTGGCAAAACAACGATATGGGCTGGTCCTTTGCCCTTGCCGTGGTCGGCGCTGTAATGCTGTTGCCTGCAGGCATTCTCTACATGGTAGAAGCACGCCGAGAACGCTACAAACGACTTAACGAAATCAGCAACCGCGAAGTAAGCGAGTACGGCGATGATTATTACCAAAGCCAGGCTGCAGCCGCGTCGTCGTCGGTGCCAGCACAACCCTCTTATTTCGCGCCTGAGCCTAGTCGCCCGCGCCGCCCACAGCCAGGACGACAGCCAACAGCTCCTCCCCAGGGTAGCATCCAAACGGACATATAAGCTGATCCGCGTGAAATGAGAGTGGGGTCATCTACGTACACATCCATAAATGAGGCCTTCGCCGTGCCTTCGAGCGAATATTATAAAATATCCGTCCAATTGTCGTCTTTAGATTAAGTCCGAATTAGCCTCGAATATAAAACAAACTTTTATCATTCCACATTTTATACAAACTTTTATATATACCTGCATGTATGCATGTATTTATTTAAATAAAATACTTTTACACACACTCAAATCATTATAAATAACAAAATATACACTCCCATACCACAAAATATGCAACCAATATATCTTTATATACTTGCACCGATAAACAGGGTTTTAACAAGTGTTGGACCAATGGATTCTTAGGATCAAATTAAGGCGCCCTTGCTTTAAACAAACAATTATCATTATACACATGCAAAGCTTCCCAAAATAATTAACATTCACCATATTACAATTTGATCTTGCGGTTTAAACATTAATTGAAATTACAAAAAGTTGTACGTCTAATTATATCAGTACTTAGATTAAAATTGCGATAGAAATCGACTTCAGGTCAGCTCTTTTAATACAAATTTTAACCGATGCTATTTACATTTAAATTGAGCCACAATTATCCAATTTTTTAACACATTCACACAGTGAATTTTCATCAAGTACGTACATTGATAATTTGAGTAATTGATGCGTAAAAAATAATATATTGACTAGAATTTAAATATTATCCTTGTCCTGGTCAAACGGCATTAAGAGAAGACTGTTTTATCCAACGCTGAGCATTTTTCTCCTCACTTTTCCGTTGAAGTACCAGAAAGAGCTCACGTTGCTGTCCCTCCTCGGAAAGTTGCTCCCGTAGGAATTGAAGCATGTCCGCCTCGTTTCCAAGAAGTTCCGGCTGTTGCAGCTTGGAGTCCAGGTTGTAGTAAAGGTCATCGATGCGACGCACGGCTATCCAATGCCGTCTACGCAAAGGCAGTGTTATAATTCCGAACTTATAATCAGATGGAATGTTCAGTATAAAGCCAACAATTGAATCCAAGTCAATAATCGATGGGTCTCTGCGTGGTATTAGAAATTAGAGATGTTGGCCAAGTCGTCAGACCCTGGAGTAGTACTCACTTTCTCTTATCAAACCAAATTGCTTCGCAGTTTCGCCTCTGCAACGCGGTCATAATGACATTGATATCGTAGTTTCCAAGTCCCAGCACGGAACGGTGTGGATTTATCCAAACATTTGGGCTCAGATTGCAGCAAATGTCGTCCAATTCTTCCTTAGTGTAGGATTGGTCACCTTGGAAGAGATTGTTGAGTGCGTGTAAGGCACATAGTTGCCTCGTTTGCTTTTCGTGGTAAACAGGTGATGTTGGCATAGATATTTTGGTTAATAGCAGTTTATGTTCAGTTAGTTAGTTTTTACTTTGTTGTTGACAATATGTTTAGTTGTGTACGTCTGTATATTGTACACACATACTTGCACGTGCTTAAAGTTTACACGATACGACGCATGTGAAGTCATATAATCAATCTAATTTTCTGGTTCAGTAAAGACAATCAATTGAAGTCCTTAATCATAAGAATTATTTTAAAACAATTTTACCTAAAATTATTATTAGCCTATTAATTTTACTTTCAATCGGAATTCTCTAAATGTGTTGTTAGTATTTTCAGTATCTGTAGCAACCCTTAGCATATTAAAGAAACTCACACTTGGTCACACTCAACTCACCACAAACTGTCACATGATTTTCACCTGACATTTGCTAGCTTCTGCGAAAAAATCTATCGACGAGAATTCCAATTTAAAAGGAACATATTTACACCACCGTCGAGCAGCGTTTAACGAAGCTAGCAAAATGAAAATTTGTGGTCCGAAATGCTCCCTCTGCGGATTGATTATCTCCGTTTGGGGCATTGTGCAGTTGGTAAGTATGGCGACTGCTGATTTTGGTTTGTTTTGTGGGGGTCATACGGGACAGTCACAAGATCTAAACTGACAAATGCGTAAGTCATTTTGATATCCAAATGTTTTATATTTTTAGGTGCTCATGGGATTGTTCTTTTACATACACAGTGTGGCTTTAATTGAGGACTTGCCACTCGCGGAAGAGTACAAAAGCTTAGATGCGTTCTATACAGCTGCGAATAGTGCATACAATCAGGTTGGTTTCTCAATTTCAGTCCTGTCTTAGCATGCGCGTATCGTTTTTCACATATACACCAACAAAGAACATATATATATATATTTCCTTGAAGAATGCAGATAATGAGTGTTGATAAATAAGCGTGTAATGTCCTTATCTGCATTTAGTGGGCGGCTGAATCTAAATTGTATGTATATTTATACACCCCGAATTCGTCAAAATGGAAAAGTGTGACTTGTTTTTGAGCAAATATGTGTAAACTTCCGCCGAGTCGATCTAGTCATGTCAGTCTGTATGAAAACATCTGTTTCAGAAACTATTAGAGCTAGAGACTCTATATGTGGAACCTACGTCCGCCTATTGCTAGCGCCGCTCAGGTGTCTTTCTATTGATTTATACATCTTCCCGTTTCCAGAAAATCGACGAATATAAATGTCCCATAGTGTGCAGTTAAGAAATGAGATGAGGCTTGGAGTGTGCATGAGTGTGTGTTTTTGTGCATGTAGAAAAATGATAGCATGTTTGTTTCGGAAACTCGGTGCTGCGATCAGGGTAACATCTAGCCGGGCACTCATGACTAGAACACTCTGGTTATAGTTTGCAGTCCCTAAAAATGGATGAAAATGTAAATAAAGATAAGGAAAATTGCAATTCCGACCACATAAAGTGAATATATTCCCGATAAGGACAACGAGCTAAGCCGAATTACCCGTCAACCCATCGTCCGTATGAAGCAAAATATTCAATTGACTGAGGGGTATTGGGGATTTTGCATTCACGACAATCTCGACTATTATATAATACATTGTTTATGCTTGTTTTTAATTGCTTTAACTGGTTTTTGTTTTCTTTTTCAGAATGCCTATAACTGCTGGATTGCGGCGTGCATTTACGTGCTGACTCTGTTGCTCTCTGCGCAGCAATTCTACATGAATAGCAGAGTAACTGCCAACTAAAATCTGTGCTTCAACTTCAAAATGCATCCATTGAAAAAATTATTTGTGCTATCGTCGCTGATTGCATCTAACCACAATTAGTATTGAAATGTTTATTTAAAGTTGAAGAAATTTGTTTATTTACTGTATAATATCCCCAAAGTTTTGTTGCTAAAGTTTAAATTGCATTGAATATGATAATGTTTAAGTAAAATGTATGTATAAATATGTACGTAATACAATTGTTTTGTTCATGATAATCACATTCCTTTAATAGTTCTATTATTTTCTTTGTATCGGTCAAACTCGTCAAGCCAATTAAAGCAACAAGAGCAACAATTTTGTATCAACTAGATCTGCCTTCAGAAATGACCACCTCAAAGTTAATTTGCAGCTTAATTGTACGTCAGTTAAATCAAGTGTATAAGGGTTTTCCGTAAGCGATGCCAATGAGTGAATCAAGTTATCATTGGCATTGTATTCCTGGGGTGGTTAATCAACATCCTAATTTCGTTAAAATTGTTTAAAATCTACGAAATAAATATATATTGAACTAAACTTAATAACTTGCCTAATTACATATTATGATATTTCCAAGTTACAAATACTTAGATAATCTCTATATATTAAACTTTTTGTCCTGACTGACTGATTGGTGATCAACGCATAGCTCAAACCGTAAGAGCTTGGAAGCTAAAATTTTCCTTGTCTTACCTATTGTGACGAAGGTGCACGTTAAGATAGGGTGTCGAGAAATTCCAGCCGCACGTATGGAAAAATCGCGAAATACGTTTGTATGAAACCTATTTGTCTATACATTGTCATATACATATACGCAGACAAGCACACAAACATATATTTATACATGCATATATTTATATATGTAAAAATTCATGCCTACATAAAAATATATATGTATGGATGTATGTGCATATGTATGTATGTACATATATAAGTATGCATGTGTGTATGTTCATACGTATGTATGCATATTTCTTTGTATATATGCAAACATATATATATATGTACATATGTATGTGTGTATGTGCATACGTATATATGCATGCGTTTTTCTATGCAAACATGCATGCACCTACGCGCCTGCATATAAACAAAGAAATATGCATACATACGTATGCACATACATACATAAATATGTACATACATACATACATACTGAAATGCATCCAGACATATATACAACCATACATATACACATACATGCATATATATGTACAAACATACATACATACATATATATGTACATACATACATACATACATATATATGTACATACATACATACGCACATACATCCGTACATATATACAACCATACATACATATATATGTACACACGTGCAAACATACATATAAATATACACACAAAAAAACAACAACAAAACTAACACAAAAAAACACCCTTACTAGCTAAGCATGAAAAACTGCAGAGCCTACTTAAATTCTTGAGAATCGAGGAGAAGAGCACTTGGTAAAAATTCGTTTAATTTAAATTTGCAGCACAGCGACAAATAAGCTTGGTCTGCGTTTGGTATTAGAAAACAAACATGCATCATACATACATAAATACATGCATACATACATACATACATATATACATACATATATACTTGATAAAAATACGTTTTTTTTTTTAAATTTGCAGCACAGAAAACAAACACGCAAGCAGACATATACATAAATGTATGAGTTTTTACCAAGAGTATTTTTGGAATTTACGTCCCTTAGGTAGACTTACCAATATAATTTATGATGAAGATTAATATTCAAAATAAGCAGGACTTCAAATTTAACTTGCAAGTTTATAATTGAATTTTTACTCTCTACAGTCGTATGATATTTGGATTATTTTTACTTAAAGCCCGTTCATAGACATTACTTTACAATATAAGTATAAGTTCTACTGATTTTCGGGTATTTAATTATTTTATTTATGTATATATTATACATAACTATGTTTTGTTTTAATAATCATATATATAAATATATTTTAATTGAATGTCATATTTAAATATTAATACATTTTCAAGAAATATTCGACAAGTTGTCCTTAACAATCATTGTAACAGTCCTCAAATACTATGGAGCGCAAGTACTTCAATGCATACGTCGATGCGTAGAATAAAGCCAGAATAAGTATACTATGGACTAGAAACTAGCAATTACATACCATATGCAATAGATTCTTAAAAATAATACATATTTGCATGTTTTAATGCTAATTATCAACAAGAAATACCTTATACTATTTTCATATTATTATAAGTATTTATCCACAATGTACACTTTAACCAAACGGAGCGTATTAAGAAGCGATAATAATATTGAGTGTAGATTATTTGGTATTTCTGTCAGATTCAGATGAGTAAAAATAAAAATAGTAGGATTTGAAGAACAAGTTCAAATACTGTTATCTATTGGAGGCGATAGATTAAGTTTTGAAAACGTGTGTTTAGAAGAAGAGGCGTTTATTTTAGATTTATTCGCTCCTGATTGCAGCTCGATGATCGTGACGATTTTCGATTGACCGATTCCAGATATGCTCCCGGGGTCCAGCCTTCTGCATTGGTATCTGTTAATAAGCAAACATATTATGAAATGTAATATTTCTTTCGATTATAGCTGTATAGATATATGTTATGCATATCTAGCAGAGCATGCAGTGGACTTGTGTTTGACAAAAAGAATTACCTAAGACGCGGACGTACCACCAGCCGGCACAGCCCACTTTCAATAGCTCGATAGCTTCGCCTTCTCGCATCGAAACTTCCGAGTGTCCCATAGCAGTATAATCAGCCAGGGCAATGAATTTACTGCCCTGAATCAAAATTTATACAATAGATTATTGTGTGTCGGTTAGTGTTAGCGTTTAGTACATAGTTAATAGATAAAGCAGGCATATTCTAATTTAACATTTTATGTTTTTGTAAGATAGCTGTGTGTTGGTAATATACAAAGTTAGGCTTCAAGCGGTTGCAAGCACTGCCTAACGGTTTTTTAAATATAAACATTTTACCTAGACAAACAAATTTAATGACGAAATTTATCAATTACAGGTTTACATACTAAACTAAAAAAAAAAAAAAAAAATAATTCACTTGAATATCAAAACTAAATAAATAATAATGGTTATGAGCTTTAAAATTAGAAAGTCTAGCCATGTCCGTGTACGTTGATTTCGAAAACTGCAAAGCGGAGATTTCTAAAGATTTTCGAACGTACTTTTATATTATACGTTTATTATGTCATTTCTACACCTCCCATTTTTCGAATTCTACAAATATTGGTATAAGCATATAAAAAATATGGACTCGAGTGTCAGATCGTAGTCGGACAACCTTCTCCAAAGCGAAAGGCAAAACTAAATACATACAGCTGCCTGGCACTAGAGCCCGAGTTGCCCTTGTCTAGTTGTCTGAATGACCTCCCTTGTAGGTGGGTGAAACAGGTTAATGAGTACTTAACATGCGTGCTGACTTTGTAAATGACAAATTTAGTTAATAATGCAGCTAATGGAACATTGGAGAAGGTTCCTATGGTTTAGTCACAATACTGCAGATGTTATTTCTTATAGCTCGATGATTACAAGCATCATGGGAACACAAGGAAAAGAGCGTGCAGACTAGGAAGGATCGTACCTAGCATTGTTACAGCTACAGAAAGTACTTATTATGTGAGATCCGCACCTCAGTGGTCAACGGAAACATAAAATTTGGAGTTCGATTTGCTGCTGCGCGGAAAGGTCGTGGAGGAGGACGCGCCATCGGTATTGTATGACGCCCATTGCGCCAGGAGATTCAGGAAGCGCTGTCAGGCGATCGCCGATTGTATTGCATCATTATGATGTTTAAGATGTACATAAAAGAATGCATGTACATATAACGCATAGACATATGTATGTATGTGATTTATTACAATATTGTTTTAGGTTCATGAAAGTAAAAGATAAACCCAAAAATATCCGATAAAACTATAATAATCTTGCAATATTGATTAAATGTAGGCATCCAATTTAAAATAAAAAGATGGAAAATTGTTAATTATATTCAGTGTACTGAAATGTACAGAGTTTGAAAAATCGTATATTAAAGTAGATGTTTCACGGAAAATCGTAACTTTGTGTCCCATTTTTAGAAAGGGGAAACTATCTTTTTATTTCTTTAATAATTTGTACGTGAAATAGAATAGAGAAAAGGCGGACAGACTTAGTTAACGCTTCAATGAGAACTTGAGAGTTAACATCAGATTCGGAAAATAGCTAATGGAGTGATAAATACACAAGTCTTTTCAAAAACATCAGGAGCATCTAATTCCGCTGTTTTGTAAAAAGTTAGCATTAGCCAGAGTTTTTATTTGTTGATAAAAAACCGATGAATTCGCCGAACACCTCAATTTCTAAAGCTGTTAAGGTTTAATTACCGGCGTGCTATTATCCTCATTCACGGACATCTCGTCTTCGCTATTTGAGTAATCCGAGCTCCAGCCGCATCCTTCTGGATGGTCCCTGTCACCAATACCGCTGCTGGAGTTAGCGCAGGCTGATGCTGCTGGGCCGTTCTCCTCGCTGCTGCAGTTTGAGTTGCGGTTGGAGGACTCTGAGGAAGCGTCGCAGCTGATGTTACGACTAGGTGTGCCCAATATAATGTTGGGCGTGTCCCAGGATGTTGTTTGCTTAAGACCCCGATGATTGAGGCCATATTGTTTGATTTTCTCGCCCTTCAGTTCCTCGAGCTGATTGAGCAACACCCGTTTGATCTCCGCCACCCATTTATTCTTGACATCTACCGTCGGAGCTTGCAGTGTGTGCACCTCTTGACGTCCCTGTAGCCACACCTCGAAGCGTTTGGCGTCGCCCCGAACGGACTCCGTAAGACCGATTTGTGACATCTGTGGAAAGACAGTTAAACGATACATATAAAGAGGGCTTAAAAGGACATGCTACCCACCTTAACGTGGTGCTTAAACTGGTAGGTACTTTTGTTGTGACCCGCTTTAGAGGTTTGCTTGCAGAAGAGCAAGGATTTCTGGTAGAGAAAAATGTGACGTTGCTGTGGCTTGATGCGCAGGCGTATATCCTTTTTCGACTCGGTCCACACCTGGAACGAGTCCTGCATCAGCAATTCGCCTTGCTGCGTCAGATCGGTCTGTGGACAAAAACACAAATGTATCCAATACCAAACGATCTAACATGCTTGCTTACCGGAAATCCTGTAATAGCCACTTGGTGCATGGAATCATTTACGCATTTGAGCACGATTAGCATACAGTCAAGCGCCTTTTGCAGCTCCTTAGTGCAGCTGCCACTGTCGCTGAAGCGCAG